ACAATAAAGTTTTGACATGTGTTAGCGACATTTTCTTCACCGACCACATTTGAGGTTATGGTTTGTTTTTGGGTGTTTTTAACTAAATTTGATGACTTGGTATAAAAGATTAATTGATTTTACATCCTTGTAGAAGTACCAGCTGTGTTCTCAGAGAACACCAAGCTGTCTGCGGGGAGGGAGGTCACTGAAACCTTCCAATTCCACCATGAATTATTTGTAGTCGCCCTACATGGACTGAAACAGCAAAGCTGGGCAGCTCAAGGCCAGCTGCAGCAGCTCTGTGGAAATCCACAGCCCTGGTTTACACACAGGCTGTGAAATACCAAAAGCCAGGAATCCTCTGCCTTGGGATCCTCCGTGGTTTGAAGACACTGAGCAGGGCCAAAGGTCACAAAAATCCAGATGTGGTATGGTACAGGATAGCTGTGAGGCAGGATGGGTGTGTGAGTGCTCCTGCCTCCATGCTCACCTGCATCACCAGCCCTTTTCCAACCAAGGTCTTGCCCACACTCAATCCCAGAAAACTTTTGGCCCTAACAGTTTATGGGCTGGCAGTTATTAAATTCATAGAATCGTATAAAATTGATATAATATCCTGAGTTGGAATGGATCCAAGAGCACTGACACCCCAGCAATCCCACCCTGGGCATCCCTGCAGCGCTGTCCAAACTCTCCTGCAGCTCTGGCAGCCTCGGGTCTGGCACCATTCCCTGAGGAGCCTGAGCAGTGTCAACACCCTGGGGGGAAGAACCTTTCCTGATCTCCAACCTGAACCTCCCCAGGCACAGCTCCAGCACTGGGTCCTGCCCTGCTCCCAGAGAGCAGAGGTTGCTGCTGCCCCTTGGGAAGAAGCTGCAGGCCCTGCTGAGTCTCCCCTCATGTTCTTCAGTGTTTTCAGCTCACACGTGCTGACACCACCCCAAAGCCCACACCTCCATAAAGCTCCGAGCTTACAGACTGGAGGACACTGCAGTCCATCCCCGCTGGAATGCAGAGCCACTCCAGCACAGGTAGGTGACAGCACAAACACCAGCCTGGCTTTTGGGCCAGTGAGTCTCTCCACCAGCAGCAGCGAGTTCCTCACAGGTGCAACACCCCTGAAGCAGCAGAATTCCCCACAGGGATCACCTCAGGAGCAGAAAGTGGCATAATGACTCCTCAGAAGCTGCAGCTGTATAATAAATTTTAACCAAGTGTTCTGCCTCGCTACTTCCTGGGAGAATTTTCATTGCTAATGTATTCTTTCTTGCCATAAACATACTTCCTGCTGGATCAAATCAACTCAAGATTAGTAAAAAAAGCATGTACAGGTATTTTAAAAACACCAAAAGCACGAACTCTACATAAATAATGTGGGGTTTGATTAATAGCTCTGATCAACACCTCAGCACAGCCCCCAATAGCTGCAGGACAAAAGGATCAAGATCAGCACTTTTCTTCATCCAAACCAGCCCCAAGTATTAATTAATTACTACAAATAACACTCACAAGGCCCCTGACTACCCATGCCAACACACCTGCAAGACTTACAGCTTCCTTAGGTGTTTTATCTGCAAATCTCTACCTAGAAAAGCAGCTGAATTCATGACTTCCCATCCAGACTTGCCTCTCACAATAGCTTTAAACCAGAGCTTCCTCTCGAGGGCTGGAGCAGCTGAGTTTGTTCTACGCTCTCATCTTCCCTCTGAGTGCTTTTGGGGGAGGAGAATAGAGAAAATTTCCTCTCTGATTAACCCCCAATTCCTCCCAATGTGATTACAGCTCTGAAGGATCTGTGACTGGGAACAAACTCTTGCGACAGCCCAGCCTGCTCAGGAGGGGAGCTGATGATATTCCACGGAATAACCTGGAGCCTGGCACTCACCTACAGCTCGGGAACTCAGACCTGATCAGGTCTCTCACAAAACACCAAACAGTGATTAAGGCCCAGGAGCAAAAAAAAAAAAAGGCAGTTTCAGAGCAAAAACCACTTATTTAAACAAGACTCATGCAACGTGTACTGGAATTGGATCATCTCTAAGGTCCCTTCCAACCCAAACCATTTCAATGTGATATTCCAACCACTTATCCTGCCTCCTGTACTTTTAGGATTTACAAATTAAGAACATGCAGTAAATAAGCAGCTTACAAAGCAGTGCAAGCAGCACGGGACACAAGTGTTTCTAGTTTCAAATAAGGTGACCAATCCTGATGGGCAAATACCATGACAAAACTTGCATTGGAAGAACCAGCCAAGGATTTTTTAAATTTGGATTTTGCTGCTTTGAGTTCTACCATGCCCAAGCCTGCAGCCTGATAATTTCAATGTCACCAGGGTACAACTCTCAAGCAGAATAATACTGAGTGCAACTGGATGATTTCTAAGGTCCCTTCCACCTCACTATGATTCTAAAAGCAAGCCAGAAGAACCAGACCAGTGTCAGGTTTTCGGTTTGAAGCCCCAAAACCCCCGGGAACGGTTAAAACCGGGACTTTCCTGCTGGAACACATCCCGGGCAGAGGACAGCAGAGGGAAGCTCGGGAGGGCAGCCCTGCGGGGAACAGGGAGGGGAGGAGAAGCTCCTGGTGCCGCCTTTGTCCCACCACCTTCTCCTCCTTCCACCACAAACCCCTCGGGGTGCCTGATGAGTCAACAGAACAAAGTTCCCAGCGGGGTCACAGGATCACAAAACAGACCCTTCAAGGACCATCGAGTCCAATTCCCGGCCCTGCCCAGAACTCTTCAACAATCCTACCCTGTCCCTGGGAGCGCTGTCCAAGCGCTCCTGGAGTTCTGGCAGCCTCGGGGCCGTGAGCGTTCCCTGGGGAGCGTAGTCAGTGCCCAGCACCCTCTGAGGGAAAAAAACCTTTCCCTGATCTCCAACCTAAACCTCCCCGGACACAGTTCCAGCCGTTCCCTCTGGCTTTGTCACTAGTGCCAGAGAGCAGAGATCGGGAGCTGCCACTCTGCTTCCCCTAACAAGGAAGTTTTAGACTGCGAGGAGATCTCCCCTCAGACTCCTCCAGGCTGAACACACCAAGTAACCTCAGCCGCTCCTCCTTGAGGCTTCCCCGCAAGGCGTTTCACCACGTCCGCTGCCCTCCTTTGGACGCCAACACCTCAGTATCATTCTTATACTGTGGCGCCTAAAACTGCACGCAGGACTCAAGGTGAGGCCGCACCAGCAAAGCGGGACAATCCTCCACCATACACCGGCGTCTTGTCTCCGCGTCAGGTGACACGAAGGGACGCGAGGGGACTCGAGGCGGGCGGCGGGGACGCGGTGCGGGCGGGAGGGCGGCGGGGACTCGAGGCGGGCGCGGGAAGCGGCGCGGGCGGGCGCGGGAAGCGGCGCGGGCGGGTGACCTTGGGCGCGCGCACCTGCCGCAGCCCCGCGCGCGCGCCGGTCACGTGACGGGGGGGTTGTGCGCGCCCTCACGGCCCCAACATGGCGGGACCCGCCCCCCCCCACCACAGCACCCCCGGCCCGGGACCGGCTGCGCCTTAATGCCCCCTCCCCGGCCCGGGATCCGTCCCCACTCAGCCCCCCGGCCCGGGGGAGCCTCGGCCCGCGGGAGCCGCTGCTGAGGTTGCGGGAAAAGGTGACCGAACCCCGCACCATCGTCCCAGCGCGCTGCCCTTCCCCTTCCTCTCACCCGATCTCGTCGGCGCCTCCCACGCTGTTCATGGCGGCGACTCCTCCGGGGCCGCGCCCGGCTCTTCCCTCCGGTGGCGGCGGTGCCAGCGGCGGGTCGTGGGGCCGCGGGCGGGCGCTCCCGGCCGTGTCCCGGTTCCCGTGTTCCCGGTTCCCCCCCCCGCCGCCGCCCCCGGCCCGGCCCCCCCCGCCGCGCGCTCGCGCTCCCTCAGCGCCGCCGCTGCGCGCGCACCCGCCCCTCGCTACGGGGTCTCCGGGGCCGCGCCCTGGGAGGGGCAGAGAGGGGCGTGGCCGCGCGCGCGCGCGGGGGCCGGCGGGAAGGGCAGTCCGCGCGGGGGGGCGGGGCCTCCGTGGGGGGCGGGGCCTCCGTGGGGTCCCACTGCCCACCCCGGGGGTCCCACTGTCCATCCCCAGGTCCCAGTGCCCACCCGGGGGTCTCACTGCCCATCCCGGGGTCCCACTGCCCATCCTGGGGGTCCCATTGCCCACCCCGGGGTCCCATTGCCTATCCCGGGGTCCCACTGCCCATCCTGGGGGTCCCATTGCCCACCCTGGGGGTCCCACTGCCCATCCCGGGGTCCCACTGCCCATCCTGAGGGTCCCACTGCCCACCCCGGGGTCCCACTGCCCATCCTGGGGGTCCCACTGCCCACCCCGGGGTCCCACTGCCCATCCTGGGGGTCCCACTGCCCACCCCTGGGTCCCACTGCCCATCCTGGGGGTTCCACTGCCCACCCCGGGCATCCCACTGCCCACCCAGGGGTCCCATTGCCCATCCCGGAGGTCCCATTGCCCACCCGGGGGTCCCGTTGCCCATCCGGGGGTCCCGTTGCCCATCCGGGGGTCCCATTGCCCACCCGGGGGTCCCATTGCCCACCCCGGGGTCCCACTGCCCATCCTGGGGGTCCCATTGCCCACCCCGGGGGTCCCACTGCCCATCCCGGGGTCCCATTGCCCATCCCGGGCGTCCCACTGCCCACCCCGGGGTCCCATTGCCCACCCGGGGGTCCCGTTGCCCATCCGGGGGTCCCACTGCCCATCCTACACCACCTGCAGCCCCCTGGGACCCTCTCTCCGGCCTTGCCCTGGTGACCACCCAGGACACCCTGGTTACCCCCCAAGAACCCCCGGTGACCCCCAGGACCCCCCGGTGACCCCCAGGACCCCCCGGTGACCCCTAGGACACCCTGGTGACCCCCAGGCCACTCCAGTGACCCCCAGGCCAGGACACCCCGGTGACCCCCAGGACCCCCTGTGACCCCCAGGACCCCCCCGGTGACCCGCAGCCTGGCAGCCCCGGCCCGCCCCGTTCCCGATAAGGGTTCACGTTCTCGATAAGGGCTCGCAGTCCCCGGAGGGGCCCCAGCTGGCCGTGCACACTCAGCACTTTCCAGCAGCGTTATTTAAAGCCGGCCAACAGCCCAGTGTCCCTTTTCTTTCCCTCCCCCTGCTCGGCCCGTGCAGCTGGACTTTCCTCCTGCAGCCATGAGCTCCGGAGCGGCGGCAGGGCCGATCTTCGCCGAGGGCGAGGACTGCCGGGCGGCCTGGAGGGAAGCCACGGCGGGCTACGACGAGCCCGACGCGCACCTGGAGATCCTGGGCAAGCCGGTGATGGAGCGCTGGGAGACGCCCTACATGCACTCGCTGGCCGCCGTGGCCGCGTCCAAGGGTAACGGGGACCCCGCGGGCTCCAGGACGTGCTGGGGGTCTCCAAAAGCAGCTGGTGTGGGGGAGATGTTCTGCTGGGGGACCCCGCTGTGTGTGGCCCCCCGTTGTATGTGGCCCCCATGCAGTGACAGGGGCAGCAGGGCCATGGTGGCACTTGCGTCCTTGTGTTGGGGTGACGCGTTGTTGAAAGGGGATGGGGACATGGGGAGAGGATGCGGCCACCTCCCATCCAGGCCCTGCTGATTTTGGGGGTTTTTCCGTGGTAAAGGGAGGGTTGGACATAGTTTGTTCTCCCATGCAGTGACAGGGGCAGCAGGGCCATGGTGGCACTTGTGTCCTTGTGTTGGGGTGACGCGTTCTTGAAAGGGGATGGGGACGTGGGGAGGGGATGCAGCCACCTCCCATCCAGGCCCTGCTGGTTTTGGGGGTTTTTCCGTGGCAGAGGGAGGGTTGGATGTTGTTTGTTCTCACTGGGATCAGCTTGGGGGGAGTTTGTTGGGGGGCAAAGGGGCAGCAGGTGACAGAGACAGGGGGGCAGCTGGAGGGACAGCAGGTGACAGGGACATGGGGCTGCTTCCAGCTTCTCCCCTCAGTGCCAGTGGCACCATGTGCTCCCACCCCACACCCGAAGAGCCCAGTCTGGGGGAAGAAGGGGTCAGAATTCATGCATGGGGGTGTTTGAGGCAGAGAAAACCGCCAGCTGTGCGTGCTGGTTCTACCTGCAGGCGGCCGCGTGCTGGAGGTGGGGTTTGGGATGGCCATCGCCGCCTCCAAGGTGCAGCAGCTTGGCCTCGACGAGCACTGGATCATCGAGTGCAACGAGGGCGTTTTCCGGCGGCTGGAGCAGTGGGCCGAGGCACAGCCACACAAGGTCAGGGCAGGGTGGGCCGTGCCGGGCTTGGGGGGCTGCCTGCAGCCCCCCAGCTCACCCCGCTGCCCCCCACCCGCAGGTGGTGCCCCTGAAGGGGCTGTGGGAGGACGTGGTGCCAACGCTGCCGGATGGGCACTTCAGTGGTGAGCCGGGGCTGGGGGGGACCCCGCTGCAGAGAGGGGGTGCAGCAAAGCCCAGGACATGCCTGAGCCATGGAAAGGGGGTGCAGGTGGAGCCCACGTCCCCCGTGGGGCTGGGACAGGGCACAGCTGTGTCCCTGGGGAAATGGATCCTTGTCTTGGGGCCATCGCAGCGCTGCCTTCCGGGGCTCAGAGACACGGGGGCAAACTGCAATGGGAACATAACAATACCAGGCCACGAAGGGGGATTTTCCTGGGACACAGGAGCCCCTCAGGGTCTCTCCCAGCTAACTGCGTGTCCCCGGGCAGGGATCCTGTACGACACCTACCCGCTGTCGGAGGACACCTGGCACACGCATCAGTTCAACTTCATCAAGGTGACACCTCGGCTCTGCGGGGAGGAGCAGGGGCTCGGAGGGGCAGCTGGGGCCGGGGCTGAGCGGGAGGAGCTGAGCCGGGTCCCCCGATCGATCCCCGGGGCAGGGCCATGCCTTCCGCCTGCTGCGGCCCGGAGGGGTCCTCACCTACTGCAACCTGACCTCGTGGGGGGAGCTGCTCAAGACCAGGTACAGCGACATCGAGAAGATGTTTGAGGTGAGTTGCTCCCCTCCCCGAAGCCGTGCGAGCACTCCGTGGGCAGGGAACGCCGAAGGGGAGCTCGGAGGGTTTTTCCCTGGCTGTCCCGTGTCCCTCCTCGCATGGGACACCCCAACCCACGGCTGCTCCTCCCTGCCCTCCTCTCCCGCAGGAGACCCAGGTGGGGCCGCTGCTGGAGGCAGGCTTCAGGCGGGAGAACATCAGCACCAGGGTGATGGAGCTGCAGCCGCCCCGCGAGTGCCGCTACTACTCCCACCCCAGGATGATCACCCCCACCGTCCTCAAACACTGAGGGGCCCCGGGGAGCAGGAGCTGAGGAGGAGGAGAAAAGCTCTGATCTCCTTTAAAGCCCCTGAGAGATCCAAGCTGATTCACCCAGAGGTGGGTGGAAGCTTGGGATAGATTCCAGAGGACAAAGGACAGGAAATCCCCTGCCCCAGGAGCCCCCTGCCCTGGAAGGGTCTTGTGGGCTCTGTGGAAGATCTCACCCTGCTCTGTCCCCTCAAGACTTCAAATTCTCAATTAAGCTGTAATTTCAGAGTGGGGTTCAGAGCCTCTGGCCAAACGGGCTCCAGAACCAGCCATTTCCTCTAAAAACTGCATCATTTTGAGAAATCACAGGGTGGCTTCCCACTAGAGTCAAATAATCCAAAGCAGGTGGGAGAAATGGGGCAATGTGAGGCCTTTTGAGGCATTTCAACTTCTCCTAAAGCAACTCCCAAGGGAGGTTTCCCAACATTTTCGACCAAAGCCCACGGCAGCAAATCCTGACCCCAACACCCCCTCACAGCTCAATAAATGATGTTTCCTCTCTCCCCAGAAGGGATAAAGTCCATTAAAAGGAATGAAATACCCAAACCGCTGTTCCCGAGCGATTTATTTGTCTTTCCAAAGTGTGTTTGTCCCTCAGGCATGACCATTCCTCTTCCCAGGCTCCTGGGATGCATCCAGGACAGGCTGCTTTATCCCTGCCCTGCTTAGGAGCTCTACATTCAGGTTTATTAATCACATTCTGATTTTAAGCATCAGTATTTGACTTGTTACAGAAACAGAATTCATTTCTGGCCCTATGCACACCAATATTATGGATTTGTTAGATCCTGTGTAAGTATTACCAACAAGGAGCAAGTGGGGAGTAAAGGACGAGCTCAAGGAGGGCTCAGGGATCACCCTGACATGTGTTGGGTCTCAAAACTTCCCAACAAAACACAAAAAAAATTCTGGCAAAGCCTTTATGTCACGATATGACATCACCTTCCCTGAGATTGTTCAGACCAGAAACCAACTCAGCAGCGTTATCAACTCTGCTCCTGCTCCTTAGCAGGGTTGAAAATCCCTCAGGTCAGAGGGGTTTATTAAAGACAGAAAAGCACCCGGAGCAGGTAGAGTTTATTGGAAGGCGTGTGAGGAGCCGGATTTGTGCGTAAATGTGAGCAGTGCCCGGGGGCAGTGAGTGGGGACATAAATAAAGGCTATTTCCTGTACCAGATCTGCATCCTCCTCTCCCGCTTGATTTTCCTCTGCAGCTGCAGGATCCCGTAGAGCAGAGCCTCAGCTGTGGGTGGGCAACCTGGGAGAGAGAAAGGAAAGAAGGGAGGAAGGTCACAGGGCAGGGACCTGCACGGAGCCAGAGCCAGCAGCAGAGCTGCCAACCCCAGGACTTATCCCAAAACTGACTCCCCTCTGGATTTGTGGCTGGCCCAGGCAGGAGTGTAAAGAAACTAAACTGATGCTGTTAATCAAGAAGATCTTTATCAAACATAGCAATTATTTGACTTCAAAGTATATCCAAACCCCCCTCCCACCCCACTGATGGTGCCACCACCATCACAACCCTCCCCATTGCACAATCCCTGGAGCTGCTGCAGCTTCCCCACCACTGAAAGGGGAAAACCTTTCAAGCCTACAGCTGAATGCAGAGAACTCCCCTCCCCCTGCCCTGCTCCCAGGTGGAGCTGCCCTTCGTACCTGGCACGTAAATGTCCACGGGCACGATGCGGTCGCAGCCCCTCACCACCGAGTAGGAGTAGTGGTAGTAGCCCCCACCGTTGGCACAGCTACAGGGACAAGGACAGGGACAGTGTCAGCCCAGGAAGGGGAGCAAGAGGCCAAGGGAAGGTGGCCCTGGGCAGGTGGGCGCTGCCAGGCTTGGAGCCAGCTCCACAGGTGACAGCGCCCCATCACGAGCCCTGCCTGGGAGGTTTTCAGATGAATCCAACCCAGCTGAACTTTCCCATCACCCTCACAAAGCAGAGTCCACAGCCCTCCCTCTCTGCTACAAACCCTTCTATTTTGCCTCAGAGCTTTCCCAGAATTTGTCCTGTTCCAGCCTGGACTGGCCACCCTAAGCCCTGGTGTGGGGACAGGAAAGTTGTGAGAATAATGGGATCTTTGAGGGTGGGAAAGACCTCTGAGACCATGGAATCCAACTAAATTCCATGGAGCAGATTCCAACTGACTTCCCCATGGAGCAGATTCCAACCAAGTTCCCCCATGGAGCAGATTCCAACCAAGTCCCCCCATGGAGCAGATTCCAGCACAGCAGAAGCCATTTTGAAAGCCAAAAGTAAACTCTGCAATTCTGGATCTACACAAGTTTGGCAGTTCCCAAGCCCCTGAATCCAAGCCTGGGAGGATTCACACACACCATTCCCAGAAGGAACCTTTCTGCTCTGCTCCACAAGGCTTCTTTAACAACTTAAACACAAACAAGAGAAGAATTCCCCCCACGGCACCGAGGCTGTCCTGGCACTCACCTCCCCATGGACACCACGTAGCGAGGCTCTGGCATCTGGTCGTAGACCTGCAGAACAGGAATGTTGGGGTGGGTCAGAACTCAAAATGTCCCTCAGACATTTTTGGATGTTCCGGGCCCAAGTCAGAAGCATTTGAGACCCTGGCAGGCAGCTGCAAACAGCTGTGATTTTGGGTTTGAGCCATGGAATGAGTTACCAACCTTGCAGGAAGAACAAGAAGACACAAAAGTTTAGATATTATAGTAGAAGTAGTCACAAAGTAGAGGGAAGAATTTTTGAGTGCTGTACAGGGGGGTTTTAGTTTTGTACATGGGGGTCAGAGGTTTTAAGATGGAGGGATTTGGGCTGGTCCTGTCCTCCGTCTTTCTCCTCCCTTACCTCCATGTTCTTGGTGATGTTGGCATTCACAGATTGGTTTAGTGTAGAAAAGCACCATTTAATATAGGTAATAGGCATTGGGAAAAACTGTAAACATGTAACACGTAATGTACCATATAAAAGAGAGCAGCAGCCCTGGGCAGGGAGAGAAGAAGCAGTCGGGAGTCAGAGAGGATGTCAGGGTGTGTGCGTGCCTCTGCCTGAGCTCTGAGCAAACCACAGCAGCCCCAGAAGAAAATCTTTTAGATAACTTGCAATAAACTGCCTTGAGACCAAACAACAGAAACTGCTGAGTTTTCTTTGGAAGCATGGGTTGGAGGAGAGACTTTTCCACCACGCGGAGCCACCCCAAACTAGGGATTGCTCTGTCAGGGGTGACCCCCAGCTCCCCGTGCTGCCGTACCTTGCGCAGCGCCGGGGCCATTTTGTTGGTCAGGGTCCCTGCCACGATCATGACGTCGGCCTGGCGGGGGCTGGCCCGGAACACGACCCCGAAGCGATCCATGTCGTAGCGAGGCGCTGCCATGTGCATCATCTCCACGGCACAGCAGGCCAGCCCGAAGGTCATGGGCCACAGGGAGCTCTGTGGGGACAGCCAGCAGCTCAGGGACACCGAGGGGCAGAGCTCAAGGCACGGCTCCGGGGATTCGGACACAGGGAGAGCTCCGTGTGCGGCCTGAGCGTGTCCAGAGCTGCTCCCTGACACTGCTAAAGCCACCTCAGAACCACCCAGGGACAGCAGAGAAGGACCAGGCCAGCTGAGGCAGAGCACAGCACACCCAGGGCACTGTCACTCATGTCACCCTTCCCCACAGGCAGAGCAGCTGCTCAGGGCAAGGACAGCTCCAGAAGTGCCTTTTCCTGGTGACCAAGGGCAGTTCCAGACCCTCCCACACCCTCAGCGCCTTCAGCCGGTGTCCCACACTGTCACTGGACCCCAGTGTCACCCTCTGGCCACAGAACTCGGCCACAGGAGCTCTGAGCCTATTTTTATCCCAAGCAGGAGGTGCCTCCGATGTGCCACCCTCTGTCCCTCGGTGCCAGGGTGGCTCAGGACTCACCCGCCGTGCCCAGTTGACCAGGTCATCGAGCTTGGCGATGACGTACTCGCCGCGGCTGCTGGGGACGTAGGATTTCCTCGGGACAACAGCAGAGCTCTTCTGCACCTGGACAGAGCTGAAAGGAGCCAAGACCCTCCAGTTATTCCCTTGCAGAATCAGCATGCAGCCCTCCAAGGGGCTGTGACCCCTTGAGGAATGACCGTGCCACCCCGCAGCTGGCAGCAGAGGGTTCTCCCCAGTGTGGGATCTGTGGGTTTGGTGCCCGGGCAGAGCCCCTCAGCCATACCCCAAGCACAGAGAGCCCCTGGCTGCCTCTGCCCGGGGCTCCCAGAGCTCCCAGAACTCCCCGGATTTTACAGGGAAGCGGGGAGACGCCTCACAGGAGGTGCCACGGGGACCCCCAAACCCAGGGATGGGCACAGCCGACTGTTCCCTGTCCCCAGGGCAGGAGCTGTCACCTGTCAGCGCCATCGGCCACCGGCGTCTGATGGAGCAGCTGAGCCTGAAGGGCACTCGCAGAGCCGGGCCTGGGGACAGAAAGGGCCCGCACAGGGTGACAGAGTGACGGGGTGTCACGGTGACAGGGTGTCAGGGTGACAGTGTCAGGGTGACAGGGTGACAGAGTGTCAGGGTGTCAGGATGACAGAGTGTCAGGGTGGCAGGGC